ATCCTCAGTAATCATTTTCTACACCCCCTTTTCACACACGCATCATTAAGACTTTTAGCATAAAATTCTTCATCACACACTCACATTTTTATCATAATGCACAGACAGTAACCCAAATGCACAAACTGTCTTTCAGCCTACTGTTGGAATGTTTTTGACCTTAGTGCCCTCACAACGTTGAGTCAGTTCAGACGCTATTATTGCCTCTGACATGCATATACTTACACATACATCTGTGCATGCATGCATGCATGAATGTACTCATGCATGCTGACATGCACAAGAACACGCTTATACAGTGTACACACACATATTCCAGTTCACATTCCACATTAGTGCTGTAATCTTTCCCTCTTACAAAGACCCTCACCCATCAAGAGTCCTTCAGAACAACTGATGAATGGTCACACCACACCACCAGAAGGGAACCTCCATGGGTGGCCCTATCTGATCAGCATGCTCCGACATGGGGCCCTTCACCCCTCAAACCATAGAGTGGAAAATTTAATGGACACACTAGACTGTTCTGGCTTGGCCTTTTATGTGCTTTTGTGTAAAGTCATTTTCCATACAAAGAGCCCATGTACACATGTCAGTTGTTCTTCAGTCAAAGCCCATACAAAACTGAACAAGTAGAGAAAAAACTCAGAATGTGTAACAGCAAAGAAGCATAATGATAAGTTATACAGCTTGATGGGGATTGTGGTTGGCGTGCTGTTTTGTCCAGACCAGCTGTGATCATTATGGAAGACTCTGGTTATGTGTATCCAAAAATGTGAGCAATTTATTTGTTTAATTTATTCCACTAACATTTAGTTTAGTTATGCCAACAGATTAGTCAGACAATTAACTACTACAGCATTTTTACTGCTCAGCTTCTCTTCTTCAATAACAGAGCAAGCACTGTTTATGAGACAAAAATACTGCAGAGAACTGGAAAGTTATGAATAGCTGTAATCAAGTTTTCTATTTTTTTGTTCTTCTACATGGGTTTAGAGAAATCTAAACAAGTTTGGCTGAACAGTATGCTGCATTCCCAGTCATGATATTATTAATCCCATGAGAGCAGCACACACTTAACCTTACAACTCTTAACGCCACCGTAATCCACACACCCCAGCTCAGTCAGAGATGTGACATGTACTGTACTGTTCCTTCTCCTGTGCAGACTCTTGTGTGCCTACCTGAGAGTATGTATATGCTTGTACAGTCTCACAGGGCTTGGCTGTAGTGCATATTTCACTCTACAGGGAACACACACACTCAAATTTACTGACACGCATGCATGCCCTCACACCACACACACACACACACACACACACGGACACAGATGCACACAGACATCCATCTTCATAGGCAATGTACACAGACATCCATCTTCACAGGCAAGCCAGTCATTCATTTCAGCATCAACGTTGGCCCACACTCACTATTATGTTAGTATTCATGCACTGTGTGTATGAATCCCAGAGAGAGAAAGGGAAGTGGGAGACCAAACAAGTGAAAGACTACTGGCTGAGGGAACATTGGGTTCCCATAGCATGCTATGCAATGAGATTGTTGAGTTCATGTGCGAACCTAGTTTGTGTGCTAGAAGTCAGGGTGGCCTGATCTCTTTTTTTTTTTTTTTCTAGCATGTCTTGCATGATGCAACACTACATGCAACTCTGGGCATGTTCTCTGAGTTTCAGAGAGAAGAAAAGTTGGAGACAGCAGCAGTAATTGGGATTTCTTAGAAATAAGGGCATCTATACTGTTAAAACTTGCCCATAGCACTTTTAAATTGTTTCTTAGAAAAGTGACTTTACAAAGAGGAAGACCAACTTGTCTTTGTGAAATAAAACAAATCCACTTGTTAGTTGGTTCATCCTATCCCACCGTTCGGTATTCTTCTCTCTCTAGAGAGAATTGTATGCATTACATGCTGCTCAAAAAATTAAGGGAATTCTTAAAGCACACATTAGATCTTGATGAACAAATTATTCAAGTATTCAAGCAGTCAGTGGTAACCAAACTCATCAACTCATGGAAGGCTGTATTCAATATCACACTGAAAATCAAGATGAAAAATTGGAATCACAGACTCATCCAAGTTGCATGAATTTCATCACAGCAACTCATAATGTGACTCCGAAGTGTGTATGGGCCCTGCGAGCCTGTATGCACCTACCAACAACATGTGGGCACTGTGTCAGTCAGGGCTCGAACCGGATCATTCTTGCTGTGGGGCAACAGCGCTAATCACTGCACCACCATGTCACCTTGATATCCCTGAAGTTTAACTGAATTGGTGTTAAACTGTGATGATCAAGTGTTCCCTTTAATTTTTTTTTTTTTTTGAGCAATGTATATGGAATAAGAAGCAAAAACACTGAAATTGGCCCTATCTCACAATAGTGAAGAATCCCTCAGGATGTTGATCCATCAAATGATGATGATGCATCAAATCTAACAGATTGTTCCGGACGCCAAACCCTACCTCTTCCAAAAATTCCATCAAAATCAATTTGTTGGTCTTTGAGTTCAAACCAACAAACACAGGCCAGTAAAAACATAATTTCCTTGGCAGAGGTAATAACTGAGCTGTCACTGCGCTGTGATTTATCCACTAAAGGTATCAGTGATTCAGCATCATAAGTAATTCAGTGAGACAGTGTTGTGGTTGAATAATGGTTGATGCCTTCTGGAGATATTATGAGCAACATCACAGTAAAAAAAAAAAACGCATATCAGCATATCACTATCTACTATCACAGTGCTGTGCATCAAATTAACTGTATCACTACCAGACATTATACAACTTGTTGTGGGATAATTTAAAAGGAATGTTTGCACTCTGACGAATTTGAAGGCTCAGATGCCTGCCAGAACTCCACTTGATTAAATTACTCTGTAGTAAACTCTTCTTCAGTCCTGCCAGTCCTGAATTTACAGGTTGGTTTATAGTTGGACCACACACACATACACACACACACACACAAATGCACAAGGTAGTCATATGAATTAATTTCCTACTGTATTTCAGGTGGGCCTTGGCTCAGAAAGCCAACAGAAGAAAAGAAAGGCTCCAGCCCCTCCTCCTACCCCAGATTCCATCACCCCAGACTCTGACAGCACTTCAGCCTCTGCTACTCCTACCCCTGATAGCCACGCTACTGAAACACCTACTCCAGTCTACCGCACCAAAGAGGCACAGTCATTTCCAGTCTCCTCTGCCATTGTGGTAACACATGCAATACAACCAGTCCCCAACAAAACAGCAGTACAACCTCCACATGTATGTGCTGCCAGATCCCCAACCCCCAGCAGCAGCACTACTGACAGCGTAACGGTCCAGGATTCCAGCTCTGACGACTCAGACGCTCACCTAGAACAGGCCGGTTCCCACTGTAGCACCCTCACCAGCAGCACAGCGAGTGATTGTGTACGGGTCCAGCCCACAACAAAAAGCTCCAGCAGGATGGTGGAATTGGGAGGGTCTAGCGGCCTGGCTGCCAAATTAAATGAAGAGACGACCCCAGCCAGCAACTCCAGGTCAGACGCTGAGTCTGCCCTTAACCTGAAACTGGATGAAGCTGACAACAGACACAGCGCAGTGGGTAAATATCTATAAAATATGATAAATCAATGCTCAACACAGCACATACAAAAATCCTGCAACAATCAAACAACAACATGCAGTTGAGGACTTCAGTTTAGATTCAACCAATTTTGCAAAAAAAAAGTTAGAAATTTATCTTAATTGATGCTTTTTGAAAACACTATAATGGTCTAGTGGGATTTCCTTGATAGTGATAATGCAACCTGTTACATTAGAGTAGTTGTCTAACATCTCTTAGTTCATTGCAAATCAAAGAGAGAGATGCCAACACTGGTTTATTTTTTGTTTAATTCTTCCAGTTGCCTTTGTGGATGAAGTTTTGATTTATAATCAACTGGCATATCACGTTTACACACCACATTACACAAAACATCTATATTAAACTTTATGTATTTGTTGATCACTAGACTCACGACAGTCAGCACTTTCTAAACACTGCTGTATCTGCATAAGACAGTCAGACCTTGCCTGCAGAGGCTTCTTACCTGTTAGAAAGTGACTGAATGTCTGCCCTGGAGAACTGAGCTGTCACACTGCAGCAGCGTTGGAAACATTAAGTGTCAAGCATGACAGATTGTGTGTGTGTGTGTGTGTGTGTGTGTGTGTGTGTGTGTCACTCAAGTAAAGGAACTAGTGGAACTCGTTTTTATCATGGCTCATGAGACAATGCAGTCCTTGTCTCTTGCCCACACTTATCAATCCCTCACATTCTTCTTCTTATTCTTTTTTCTGTCTTTCTCTCTCTCTCTATCATATGTAAGCAGCCACTGACAAACTTTTAAAGCTGGCAGATACAAAAACGGACAGATCTATCAGAGATTTAAATAGGATCCATGTGAACTCTACCTGGCCTCGTATTGATCTTTATATAACCTGGATCGTTCTCTGTAGCAAAGTGAGGTTGCAACAGAGGGCTGTCATATCTGACGGGCAGAGAGGAGACAGTTGTACACCTCAGAATAAGGATGAGAAAGGCGCGAGTACAAGATTGAAGTTCATAGAAAGGAGCGTGGGAAGGTTTTAGCAGCATGATGACAGGGTAGTGAGGTATAGAAGCAGTGTGGGGGGATTTAAGGAGAGGAAGCTGATGAACAGGCAGAAGAAAGCGGGAGAGAGGATGAAGTATGAGGAGGTTAGTGACTTAGGATAGAACTAACAGCACTAGGCTCATTAATAAATTTGTAGACCTAGCTACTTCTCATTTTATCCTGACAATGCATTACCTTCTCAGTCTTCTTTTGCTTTGACTGCCCCCTTTACAATGAGGTAGAATTAAAATGAGTTTGAGTTAAAATGTGTATTGTATTAAAATTGTTTCATGTCTAAAGCCACATGTCCTTTAACTGTCCTTTTTTGTCATACAGACAACCTCAACTTCAACTTTTCACATGAGCTACTACATATTTTTCTTTGCAGCCCGCTTTTGTTAGACATGAACAGTACATATTTGACAGTGAATGAATATCTGACATATTGTTGTATGTTGGTGTACAGAGAGTGGTGGCCTCACACTTCTAGGCAGAGACAGAAATGTGCACAGCACTTTTTAATGAAAGACTAACCAGACTGTAGGGACAAAAATACTGTTGGTTAATCTTTAATTTATATATGTTTAATTTACTTTTACATATTTTAAGCTTTCTTGTTCTTTCAATTAAGCAAAATGGTTATGTATGACAAACTGTAAAGTTTATGATAAAGAGCTCTAATTCTGCAAACCATTAGAAATATTACTGCTAAAATTATATATTTTTAAATTCTTGGTTTTATTGCTTAATATAGTTTCTGGTATTAGGTGATGTTTACCTTCAAACACTGTTGTAGTGTAGAATCTTAAAATGTCTGTATGTGTGTGTTTGTGTGTCAGAAGCTGTCTAGGTTAGGATGGTGTAGTTTATCATCCCAGCTCTGGGCACTGTTTCAGTTCGCTCCTACAAGAGTAAACATATAGAGCACTGACAGCACTTGCTGACTAAGACAGTACATTGATGCATCACAGCCCTTATAAGGAACCCAAAGGTGTATTTCAGCAGAGCTGTTACAGTAATTACACTTTTGCCCCTATAACCTAATATGTTGTTGTATCTAGAATGACGTTTTCCCATTCGTCAGTCACCACATCTGTTAGCGTTGCATGTCTCCTGTGCTGTGTGTACCATGGTCTGGACATATTAATATATATTCAACTACTCTACTTCTGTTCTTACTCCCTCTTTTTGCACTGAGAGCCACATTGCTTTCAGGTCAGTTGCTACCTACTTTTGGCATAAAACAAAGATGAAATGCTATTATGTGGAAGTGCAAATGGATGGTAAAACTAAATTTGACTTTACATAAATCATATCAGCATAACACTACTTTTATGGTTGATTGACAACCTGTAGACATTCTGACTCTAACTGCAATAGTTCTTGAAAGCTTTTACATTTGCCCTTTCTGCAAGCCCAGACTTCTGCAACTTTGAAGCGTTGAATTGGTTGGATGGATTGATGTTGTGGCTGATAAAGCTGCTTAGCCACACCTACAACTGTACAACCTTTAAAAAATGTCTGTTAATGACTGAATACAAGTTAGATGTTAGACAGAATTACCCAGAGCCCCACTGGAAGAGTATGCAGACAATAAACAGTCCCACTCCTGGCACACATTTGTTTTTACAGGATTCATGTAAAGTGAAAGCTAGCTACTGTACAAACCTGTTGCTATTGTCACTGTTCTTGAAACTTCAGCTGATATTCTGCAGACCTTTTTGCCAAGGCTGGCCTCTTCACTCTGCAGTAAACTGTGAGATTTCACAAGAGCAGTGGTTAACTATTATAAATACCAAAGAAGTGCACACTCCATTAACAGTGATAACCTCCATTGTCCAGCAGGAGTTCTGTCAAAACAAACTCAAACTAATGGCCAGAAAATTGAAGTTTAAAGCAGTCTCAGAAGTCTGTAGCACAAATACACAGCAGCCAAGACATTGCCAGAATAAATAAAACTCTAAATCTTGATGATTACATAATGTTTTATCTGAAGTTTGCATGTAAGATGTTCTGTGTCACGTTCCCCATTTTTACAAGCATGACCATCAGTGCCTGCCCTGCCTGCATGTTGTCTCTCCTCCAGAAACAGCTTATCAACAAGCACCACCTAAACCTCGCCGTTCCCCAGCCCGGGAGCCACCCCAGCTTGCCCTACCCTCTACTCCGTCCACTCCTCCCCTGTCCTCCTCTCCCACTGAGCCCACAGAAAGCAGCTCCCCTCAGAGTCTCATGGAGATGGAGGAAGCAGCTCCCGAGTGTAGGTTCCAGGTGGACCATGTTTCCCTTTCCTTCACTTTTGCTCTTTCTTTTATTTCCCAAAAGCGTCCCTCTATAGCACATCCCAATCACAGCTTGTATTTTTGCAGCTGCCAGTCCTGTCTGTGTGAATGTGTACACGTGTGAATACTGCACTCTGTCCTCACATTTTCTCTCTCTCCATCAGCGACCAGGGCAACTGAGTTAAGTGATACTGGGTTCATGTGAAGTCAAGGTGTGCCATGTCTATAAATATCAACCTGTAAGCCCTGTTATATCTGCTGTGTCAGAAAGGTCAGGGCTTTTGTCAACACCAATCAACTGGAGTGCTTTTCATGTTGCATTTATACAGCACGTTGGAGTGTATTAGGTTTATATGGAAGAGATGCTGAATCACATGTAAGCCACCCTGTGTTTCTCATATAGCCTATTGTTTTTCATGTTACTGATTGTCCTTAATATTTGTCTTTACTTTTAGGTTTTTCTTTGGATGCTGGTTTCATCATTAGCCCCTGCCATGTGCAATTTTCAAGATCTATCTGTCTCAAATTACATCTGCTCTTTTCTGTACTCCCCACCCCACCCACCCCCTCTTTTGTAGTGTACTGCTGTGGGCCTATTCGTCTGCGGTCCAGACACTCCTGAAGTCTCTGGCTTGATCTCTTCTGCATTCAACAGTCCTTTTTCCATCAATTCCCTCTGCCTCTTTCTGGTCCTTATTTCTGGTGGACCTCCCTCTGATGTTCATCATCTTCTCTTTTAAGAAATGTTTCACTGTTTGTTTTTTTTACTCTTTGTTATTGCAGTCTCATTTCTATCAATTTTCACTTCAGTCACTTCAGTTCTATCACGTGCTTTCAGTTGGTGTCACAGTATAGTCACAGAAGCTGCTTTGCAGCAACCTCACTGCATCTGTCTTTTATGATGGTTTGGATTTGATCCTGCTGAGGACTGAAGATGCTGAAAGTGAAAGCAAGCCTTGCTCTCCAGTTTCACTCTAAGAGCAACATGTTTCTTGTTAGATTTTTTTTTCTTTTCTTTCTTTGTTTTTTTACAAATGTACAGTCATGGCCAAAAATATCAGCACCCCTGCATTTCTTCCAGATAACACACATCGCCTAGAAAATTGTTGCAATCACAAATTATTTGATATTCTCGTGTTTATTTCTTTTGTTTGCATTGGAACAACACAAAAAAGCAAAATTTGATAGATTTCACACAGAACTCCAAAAATGGACTGAGAAGAATTATTGACACCCTCACCTTAATATTTGATAGTGCACCCTCTGGACAAAATAACTTAAATCAGTCACTTCCTGTAACCATCAGTGAGTTTCTTCCACCTCTCTACTGGAACTTTGAACCACTCTTCTTTTGCCAGCTGCTCCAGTTCGCTCAGATTTGAAAGGTTTCTTCTCACAACTGCCGTCTTGAGACCTCTCCATGGGTGTTCTATGGGATTTAACAAACAATGCAAACAAAAGACATAAACATGAGAATACCAAAGAAAAGAACAATTTTCTGGGAGAAGTGGTGTGTTATCTGACAGAAATGCAGGGGTGCCAATATTTTTGGTCAGGACTGTATCTGTAAGTACCTTAAATATCATTTTGTGTTAGCAAGCTCCAGATATATGGTCATTGGTATAAAAGAAATGTTACATCAGGTGAAGAAATCATAAAAAATAAGACATTTGACTGAGGCTAAGTCACTGCATTCTTTGCAGAGCAAAGTCCAATTTGGCTTTATGTTATATTAAAGTATTTGTGGTTGCAACAATTTTCTGGGAGATGTGGTGCATTACCTGACAGAATTTGAGGAGTCCCTATACTTTTGGCCACGACTGTACATATATATATATACTTTTTGGTGGTTTTACATTTAAACTTGATTCACTGGTTATTGGTGATTATGCATAAAATAAGGGCTAGCAGAATTGGGCAAGCAGAATATGGTCAGAAGATGATAAAATGACAAGATGAGCTAAACCTTGGATGTAACAGTTACAGTGTGATTGATGGTTCACATGATGGAACGAGGCTATGAGACAAGGTCATGCGATGGCTATCAGCCAGTATTTTGGTGATGTAATATCTACAGATCAATAGTTGGATAACGTATGTTTCTCTGCAGTGCCTGATGTTGTGGATTAGTGCATAAACCCGAGACCAGAATGCACACTGCCTTTGACAGAAATATGGAAAGGGTGATATTTCAAAGATGTGGTATTTAAGTGGTAGCAGGTCATGTATTTTAAAAACTAGTATATGATTGAAAAGACCTCCTCCCAAGAAAAGTCAAAAACAAAAGCTTTTGAGTACTATTATTACAAGCACTGTGTGGAAAGAAATGCTGTTTTTTGTGTCGTGTCTGTGTGAAAGGAATAAAAACCATGTTTTTATTATCATATGACTTGTTCTGCACTGTACGAATGCAACTTTTTTGGTGTGGTTGTTTTGTGGCTGTGATTACAGCAGTGTACTAGGCAGATATCATTAAAATTTTATTATATGGCAGTCTAGTTTAATGTAAAATGTAATTTAATATCTTTAAGTTATATGCCATTTAGTTGTAGTGAAAATTTGTAGCCTGGTAAGTGGATATGTACTTTGAGCCAGTAGAGTTGTAACAATGGTTGTGTACTTTCCTGTAAAGGCAGTGTGTGCTGTGATTGAAGAAACAGAATATGTTTGAAAGATACTTTTCAATTAAACAGTTGACGACTAGATCAGTGTTCAAGGATCTTTGGTTTTGGATTGTGCATGGATTGCTGTGGTTAGATTCTGACAAGTAGCATGTCACAGTATTGATTTGCTTGGGATTGGAGACACTTTTTGCTTGGCTTTTACTAAACCATTGCCTAAGGTTCTATTGGGTTGGAGGTCTGAGAACCTGTTTCTCTGCAAAATCACTGAGAGCATAAGACTGTGTGTGTGTGTGTGTGTGTGTGTGTACTCAAATATTTTTTGCTACATAGTGAGGACATTTTTGCTGGTCCTCACTTTGTGAAACACCTTTTTGAGGGTTAAGATTTGGTTTTAGGGTTCAGGTTAGAATTAGGTTTAGATTAGGGGGATGAATATAGTCTAGATGGAACATTAGGCTCTCCCTGCTTCGTCGTCTACACAGTTTGGAGTAGAAGGCCAAAGGTAAGGCATGGGCTGACACTTGTCTCTCAGGCTTCGGAGACTGTGTGCTGTCCCAAACTCAAAGTAGGTAAGTCTTAGTTTAGTTTGGGGTCAATTAACTTTTGTGTCACAGTGGTTCAGTTTAGGGTTGGGTACCCTTTAAGGTGGTTAAGGATAGTAAAATATATTGTTTAGGGCTTAGGTAACTTTTTTGCATAGGCATTTGTTTCTGATGGTTAAGTGTTAGGGTAAGGGGCTAGGGAATGCATTATGTCAATGAGTGTCCTCACAAAGATAGAAGTGTGTGTTGGGAAGGAGCTGGGAGGACAGCCCTGTGAGTCATCGCCACATCTCCTGGAACTGATTGTTCTCTCCACACCATTAGGACCAGGCCCAAAACGACAGGCCTATTTCTCTCTGTCTATCTCTCTCACTCACACATGCACACATAGGAGGACATACTGGAGCATAATGTGAACCCAGATTCATACACCTGCTATTACTAACAAGGTCACCAACTGTTAAACTCACATCATTACATTTTAAAGAATCCCGTCTTGAGTTTCCACTACTTGTTGGCTGTGTCACTGAAAACCTGACAAATGGTATATTGATTTGTATTCTTTTGGCCTAGACTTAAGTGAGATCAGTGACAGACTAAATAAATTCTTCAAAACCCATAGGACTGGCCAGAGCATGACTGTACTAAAGAGATGACAGGGTATAAAGCAACATTATCTGTCACCGCAACCTAAAACAGTACTATAAAAATCAAATTAAAAGGTTTTGCCCACAGTAAGCTCAAACACACATCATTAGAGCTGTTGTGTTTGTATAATTAGCTTGTCTTTTCTGGTTTGTGTGGTGTCTCAATGAATGTTGGAACTAACAAATACTTCCTCTGGTTTTCCCCTCTTCTCTTGCGTCTCCTACTCACTCCGGATCCCTTGCATCTTGCTAGACAAATATTCTTGTGATTTGTTGTGTTTTTCAGTAGTAGTAGTACTTCTCCTAGGTATCAGGTCTTTTGAGGTTTGTGGATTTCAGAAGAAATAACATTAAGACCAAAATGTTTTTTTTAAGTTAATGCAAGGCATTAATAAAGCCTCTGTGATGTCTAATTTTGGCAAATATACATTTGTGTCCCCAATACAAACCCATTCTCAGTTTACTTTAACTAAACACAGAATTATGGAAATGAAAACCTTTGGTGGATGTTGAAGTTGATTGTTGCAAAAGGATAATAATAATCCTAATACTGATACTGGGGTCTTTCTCTGTCCTCTACCAGACTGGCTCCACTCTGTGCAAAGCTCAAGAGCCAGTGGCCAGAAACCCAAAACTGAAATACCTGAGGAGACTCTGTCCTTGGGCAGCAGCAGCAGCAGTGGCAGCAGGCT